GAACCTTCACACAAACAAAACACTTGCATTATTAAGCAATGCATTATTGATACCTTCATAAGGTATTATAAACATGGCTGTAACTATTTATAAAATCGGAATCAGACTCAGAATTCAGGTTATTGGCCAAGTACAACTGCATGTACTAGGAATTCACAGACAACATATAAGAACAAAGAGCATAAATTACGCAATACAGATAAGTAGAAATAAAACAAAAGTATAAATGAATAAAAGAAATAGCGAACAGTGCAAGCTGTAGAATATATTAACGATAATTATAAGGATTGTACGGGAACTGAAGTATTGAATATAGAGCATAAAAATATATTTTGACCCCGTACTTGGAAAAAAAGATGTAGAAAGATGGGGGCAGAATGAGTGGGGGGATGGCAGAGGCAGGGACTGTGTCAGTGGGGGTCAGGGGGCTTGTTGACGAGTTCAACTGCTGAAGGGAAGAAGCTGTTTTTGTGGTGCATAGTTCTGGTCTTTATAGTCCTGAGTCTCTTGCCGGGGGCTCAGTTCTTTGAATAGTCAATGTCCAGGGTGGGAGGGGTCAGCCATGATCTCTCTGGGGGTGTATAGGTCCTATCACCTCCTCTGCAGCGCGGATGACATACCGCAGTCTGTCCTGGTCCTTGGCAGTGGCTGCAGCGTATCAGACGGTGATGGAGCAGGTGAGGATGGACTGATGATGGCTGAGTAAAAGAGCACCATCATTGACCTTGGCAGACTGAACTTCTTCCGCTGCTATAGAAGGTACATGCTTTGTTGGGCTTTGTTGATGAGGGAGCTGATGTTCAGCTCCCATCTGAGGTCCTGGGAGATGATGATGCCCAGGAAATGGAAGGACTCCACTGTATAGACCGAAGACTCATGAAGGGTTATGTGGGGGGGGGGGGGGGGGGGGGGGGGGGGGGGGGGGGGGGGGGGGGGGGGCTGCACCAGGTCACCAAAAGGTGAATTTCCCTCCTGCAGATGGATTCATCCCCACCAGAGATGAATCCAATGAGTGTAGTGTTGTAGCTTGACAGACTCATGGCTGGAGGTGCAGGGGGTCAGAGATGTGCTTCCCCATCTTAACATGCTGCTTCCTGTTGGACAGGAAGTCGGTGATTCACCTGCACACCCAGCTGGGAGAGCTTGTCCTGGAGCAGAGCTGGGATGATTGTATTGAATGCAGAACTGAAGTCCACAAAAAGCATTCTGGTGTAGGATCCAGGAGGATCCAAGTGCTGGAGGATGAACTGAAGAGTTATGTTGACAGCATCGTCTGCAGACCTATTGGCTCTGTAGACAAACTGCCCTGGGTCTGGGAGAGAGTCGTTGATAGATCTGAGAAGAAACAGTACAAGATGCTCAAATGACTTCATTACTACTGAGGTCATGGCAATGGGTCTGAGGTCATTCAGTCCTGTGATCCTGGGCCTTTTGGGGATGGGAATGATGGTGGAGGTTTTGAAGCAGTCTGGCACATGGTATGTCTCCAGGGAGGTGTTGAGGATGTTGGTGAGACAGTAGGTCAGCACCATGCTTCAGTGTGGCAGGGGGGACAGAGTCTGGGCCAGCTCCTTTCAGGGGGTCCTGACACTTGAGCATTTTGCTAACATCCCACTCAGAAAGAATGAGGGTTGTTGTGGTGGAGTGAGGGGGTGGGGGCCGTTCGGAGTGAGTGAATGTGTAGTGGCCCCAGCCGTCATTGGGGTGATGGGTGGTAGAGTGGTGGTGCTGGGGGTCTCCAGCTGATGGCTGAGGGCAGGGGCAGGAATGTCCCTTTGTTTTTCAGTAGAATTTGTTCAGTTCATTGACAAAGCTCTGGTTATTGATGGACTTGGGGGGTTTCGGTTTGTAACTGGTGATTTGCTAAACTCCTTACCAGACAGAAGACAAGTTGTTGGTTGCAAATTGTTGCTCAGTCTCTCAGAATACAGGTGTTTGGTCTCCTTCACCACCTTGCTGAGCATGTGTTTTGCTTAAAAGGCATAACACATTGTAGCCATGCCTATTAGGCATTATGAATGCTCTATAAATACCTTTATAATGCAATACAAATCATCCTTAATTCTTATGCCGACTATCATAATTCATTATTAAGGTATCTATACTGCATTATAAATGAGAGCTTCACAGAGCATTCACAATTCATAATAAACATGGCTATAATGTGTTATGCCTTTTTTGTAGTTGTAGCCGTGTTTATAATACTTTATCAATGCATTATAATGCATTATGAAGGTACCTATAATGCATTAAGATAACTGTTTCAAATGAAGTGTTACCAAAAAACTAAGACATTCCCACTGTGCAGATACAGCAAAACAGAGCAGTGAAAAGACATTTTAACAATCATTCCAAGCTCCAATCAGCAAATTCCCAAATTATCTTTTACATTTATCAAGTTTTCCTAAATAAAACGTTATGTACTGAATGCTGAATACTGATCCTCTGAACACGGCCCTGAGCAATTCTGACCCCGCACATGGTCTTATGACAAAATCTCTGTGCCTGCCAGTTACCATAACAACAAATGTAGCGACTAAGCCGGCTGACAGCATCTGTCTTTTATTCCCTCCCACCTGGCCCGAGGGGGGCGGCCACGAGGGGCCTGCCTCTTCCGGCTTCTCCAGGGGCCCACACCCCGTCTGTTTTTATTCCCGTGGCAGCCCCTACTGCGAGCAGACTCCCAGATTAACCCAGGAGAAGGGATAGAAAAACACTCGGAAGAGAGAGGAATGTGAATGTAAATCCTTCTCGTTGACTGGTTACATGTCTGTAGCGGAGTGGAAACTATTAAACCTGTAGCACTGATGGAGTTTGCAGGAAGACTGGTGCTCTCAGCCTTAGAGAACTGACCATCAGCTCACCCTAGCAACAGCAATCCCATGTAAAATTAGTGTCATGTGACCCGTAAAGACTATCTCCTCAATCAACCCTTTAGTCGTCGTCTAGACTTGGCTCCCCCATCTTAATTCGCTTTGCATCGACTCTGGTGATGTCAGGCCCTGCCTGACTTCGGCGAAACAGCAGCTGAACCCGCGGGCTTCTCTGGCGGCAGGTGAGATCAACCAAGCCTGGCGAGAAATTGACATGGCATACAGTGAAACCGCTATATATAGAAATGCGGGCACTTCGCTCGGCTGCCAACTGATCGGTCAGCTGGGAGCACGAATGGGTGCGGAAAGTCACAAATAAGGCCTTTACCCACCTGCCAGGACTGTAGGTGTCCGGTGACCGTGACTGCAAACTGGTAGTTTTATGGGACACTTTAAAATTGATTAATTAGGCCATAAAACCCTAACTTCAGAATACCAGTATGAAGACATCACACTAAGTACCAATTTGTTGTTGTTTTTAAAGCCGTGTTGAGTCTATAATCCCATCCGTTAAGCCGGCAAACACGATTACACAGTCATGGTATAGAATTAAGAGGTACAAACTCAATACCCATGTTCTGAGTTAAAAAGGAAGTTCCATTTTTACGTGTACAAATAAGGTCATAGCTTCTGCCATCTCATATAATCCTACTTTATTACTTTCTAGAATGTCTCACTTTTTATTTTTAAACATTTAGTAATTATTTTACCACACGGTTGAACATTATATCCTGACCCCTTCAAAGAGGGTCACTGTAGTGCACAGAGCGGCAAAGAATAAAAACAAAGTTTATTGTGATAAATATGTTTAAATGGCGGCCGTAAGTGACGGCAGAGAGTGGTCCGTGATCGTGGTCTGTGATCGTGGTCCGTGATCGTGGTCCGTGAACGTGTTGCGGTGATCCAGGCCTTGGGGGAAGGGGACTGACTGTGGATTGCGGACAGCTGTGTCGATACCCTCTGCCACACCAAACACACTGACCTGCAACCCAGACACTGCCCCAAGCCACATGTCTGGGTCCAGCAGATGACGATCTTTTAGCTGTCGATCATACGGCTTTGGAAGGGAATGCAGAAATTATGGCTAAGTATCATCCTGATAAATAGACTGGTCATGCAAATTGAGTTACGGGTTATCGTTTAAATAATAGCAACAGTTATATGGAAAAGCCTCAGTGAACTTTGTTATAGAAGCATGACGAAAAGATGAGGTAAAGTATACATGCAACAGATAGGGACCCCCAAGGCAGCAACAAATCAGAGCAGGGGATACATAATACAAGTGAGTAAGAATGCATGACATCACATTCCCACATTTCTGCCTGTTCCAGTACTCAGTCCAGTTCAGTATGGACTGAAACGGGTCAGTCCGTTAGTCACAGTTAAGCACATAAGCGTAATAAAGAGAGAATTGATGCTCAAAAGAGCAAACACTGTGTTATCTTTCGCCTCTGGCCTTGCATGCCAAGGATGTTAGAGTGGTGGTCCGATTGTTTTGGTTACTGCGCAATCCCCCGCTAACGATTCACAAAAGCGCCCCCTGGTTGAACAGTAACCAGCATGATGGTTTAAACTGGCAGAGCGTTTCCCATCTGAATGCAGTGAGGAGAAATGAGGGTGACAAAAAGTGTATGTATTTCTCAGTTATTGTCTTCTGGCAAGAATATGGTGTGCTTGTGATTGGAAGGTTGCTGGTTCGAATCCCCAATCAGCAAGGCACCACTGAGGTACCCTGAGCAAGGTACCGCCCCCAAGCACTGCTCCCTGGGTGCTGAATTCGCTGCCCCCTGCTATGTCATGATGTCACATATGGGTTAAATGCAGAGGACGCATTTCATTGCTGTGCACTGTGGTACGTCAACAATGACAATGAATCACTTCAGTTCACTTAAAGGTATCATAGATGCAGACTGGATTTGCAGAAATCCTTTAAGGTGCTATAAATGTCCAGTGTTTATATATAATATGTTAAAAGGCTCCATCCAGACCAAGACTATGCCAGAATTAAAATAATAGGTCTGTCAATACATGTTTTAAATTGCCTGTTATGTATATTTTTGCTGCTTTGTCTTTATAATTGTCTTTATAATAAATGTCAGACCATAAATATGCATGCTTTTCATCTAGCCTCGCTAGACAACGCAGACCCCCCACGAAGAAGATCGTGGAAGTAAGTGTCCCTGGTATCGGGGTGTGGTCTTCACTTCCTTGCTATTGTTCCAAAGGTGAGTTCCCAAAAACGCTTTGAGAAACAGCGCCACCGCCCCGCAGTCAGCCTCCCAGCGAGAGAGACGCCGAAGGCCCCCTCCACGCACAGCCTGACGCTGATGTAGCGATCGGGACATGATAAGGTAGCTGGCTGTGCCGGGCAGTCAGCGTGGGGCAGGCAGGGGACCGCGGCGTGGGGAGCGGCGACAACTTCACTACTACGGGAATAACGCTGTGCGGAGGGGGCTGGATGCCCGACATCGCTCTCATCTGCCTGTTGGGTTTCTTTTTCCGCTTGGAGTTTGCCATTTTCACTAATTATTACGACCTAAGAAAAGACACGCTGTTATTAGGTTATTGATTTTTTAAAAAGAACACCGCCCGCAGAAGTAACATTTGCAAGAATCCATCCTGTACAAAGGGACTCGCAACATAATGGATAAAGAGGCTGGATCAAATGAATTCAGCAACCAAGAAGAGGAGGTAATGCGATTATGTTTGCTTTTCTTCTGACTGCTGTCGTTTCTGGTCCACCTTTCATAAGCAGATTAGTTGGAAAGTCATAAGCGATTGAATTGATTGATTTCAAATAGTAGGACTCGTTTCTCTGTTTTAACTTCTTACATCCCCGCCTGAATAAATTAAAATGATCGGACTTTTCACACACAGAGCGCGGACTATATACACCTGCGTTATTATTGTTCAATATTATTATTATTATTTTAATTAGTATTATGTTGCTGTTCGAATATAAATGTAGGCTACAACCGTACATTAGTTTTTTTTTTTGCTACAAATTATTGTCGCCACGTGGAATGTTAAGAGTTAATGCTACCAGTTGGTAGTATCCGTTCGTACCAGAAAAGAATGGACTACAAGATTTAATTTAAAATGTAAGATTACTCGTCAGATACATGCCTGGCAGCGGCAGGGAGAGCAGCATCTGTACTTATGTGTTACTTCTGAAAAGCGTCCAGGTCCTGCGCTGGTGAAGAGCAGCATCGGTTTCATGGCAATTGGAGATGTCACTGTCACTATTGTTCCCGCACCGACTTAAAATGCGGTTTCCGCAGCGTCTAACGCAGAATGAAGCCGCCACTTTGAAAAGGTAGAATGAGGAAAGTAGCGCTGCTTTTCGGGCCAGTTTCTGAGTGTTAGGTTGCGTAATGGGGTGTCTGATTTCTTAGACTCCTTTGCGTGAATAGATTTTGTGCTAAATCGTTTCCTTGGAGTAGGATGAGGGATTAACTCTTTTCAGTTTTCCTGTTGATGCGAAGTGGAAATATTGTGTGTTTGAATGATTTTATTTGTATATGTGAGATTATTCAGTAATCAAGGGCTCACGTGTGTTTTTTTTTTTTTTTTTTTTAAAAAAGATTAAAATGACGAGGTTCCACCTTAGAGTAGAAGTCAAAGCGCATCAATGGAAAACTTAGATTGACCGCCTCCGATTACGGTCCATGTTAAGCCTGGGTGGGTCACCTGCTCCGTGCTGAACGTATCGATTGTTTCCTACCTTCATGGGAGCGCAGGTGCGGTTAATTAGTAATACTCCAGCATTCCTCACTGAGCTGAGATCAGTCCAGCTGTGACCTTTCATCTCCTCTACAGTGTACTAGGGGGCAGGGAAGAGAGCCAGGCCTCTCCAGTTAGGGGTTGTGGAGGCTGCTCAGAGTCATCTCCTACCCTGAGTCCATGAACAAGACCGATTGCTCATTTTCATGTTTAATTAGGTCCATCCAAGCCTTTCAAAGGTTTCTCATCAGCTCTGCCAGAATATATAAGGAAAATGAAGTCACATTCTTCTGATCTATTTCTTAAACAAAGTAAAAGAAACTTTCATTCAGAATACATCAATCACAATATTTCTAAATCCCATTTTCTCCCCTTTGTGATTCAGCTGCCAAAAGGTTCAAATTTCAGAAAGGTTTAGGGCTTTATGTCATACCACACTGTATCATTTACCACAGTTTCTGATAGACTTGTAATAGACTTTTGCAGTGTTGCAGTGCTGAACTGGGCTTGGTAGTATAGTCAGTGTCTTATCTCATCCACAGAAATGACACCAGATAAGTGCAGACTCATCTAACCTACAGTACAGATGGTTTCCACATGATGCACACTACATGATGCACACTACATGATGCACACTACACAAAACCCCGGGTCCTGTATTCATTCTCATATGGGCAGTGTTCTAAGCAGGAAAAACACTTGCCAGCAAAAGTTACTCCAGTAACCTAACCATACCTTGGATATTCAGCATAAGACCACATGAAGATCCACCCATCTTCCGATCCCATTGGTGCCTACGGTCAATTCTAAGAAAGCTTTCCTGTAAATAATCTCTAAACAACCAAGCAGACTTAACTGAACCAGGTCCTCAGGGGAATTTATGGGCTTTCTTTAGCTACTGGTTAGATTCTTCTCCCAGTTTCCCAGTATATCGTATATGAATGAGGGATTAACAGCCTAGCCGTGCTAGTCGGCCGTTTCTCACATTCTCCACCCAAAGACAGCAATGCTTACTGAAGACTGCCTGGAAACTTGGGTTAGAAGTAAAGTGGCATCAGCTCACACACACTTCGTTGGGTTTATTTATAAAACAGCCAGGGGGATTGTCACCATATCTCGGCCACTAGCTGACCACACCATGTAAAGTATTTTAAAAGTCAACACGGCTTGGCATGGGAGCCTATCAGGCTGACTGCAGTGGAAAAACGAATAGTTTACAATGACGGAAAGGTGGATCAGCTGAGCTTAATTACAATACACTGCCGCATAATATGCCTTCTCACCGTAGCGTACTTCAGCTGCCTTTCCATTCCATCTTAATTTAGTTTTAGTTTAGATTCTGGCATTTCATAATTCTGAAAGTTGCTGCTGTTTTGCATTCCATGGTTGCTAGGTACCTGTGACTTCCGCAGCGGGACAGGATTATGTTCCCATGAACGCTGAGACATCTCTGACATGCATTGAACGTGACCCTGTCGGATGCCAGGACGTTGCCAGCTCATCCGGGTGTGCCGCGCTTCACGTTTGGCGCCGTGTCGTTTGACTCGAATATCCGCCTTAACGAATGGGTCGAGAGAGCCCACAGGTGCAGTCGCGGAATCTGAACGTGACTGCAGCCAGTAAACTGCGAGGGGACCCAGGTAGAAGTCACTAGGTCGTGTATATCTTCATGGAGAAGGTCTGCCAATAAGAACCTCCCCTTGGTCAGGTTAAGACTTCACCAAAGGCAAACTCAACAGAGTATATAAAGGCTAACTAAAAAGTCCCATAACACAAAGAAACACATAACATGAACAAACGCACATGCTTTCCACACATATAGGGGAGAGTCTTACTCTCACCTTCTCTAATGTCTTGTTCTCTTCTTCATCTGTCCAGCTGACCCTACATAGGAATTCTGTGCAGTCTGGGTTACACTGTGTTACCTGTGGCTGTGGTTGACTTACCGTAGGTTTGCAGACCAATTACATGCCGTGCAAAAGATCACCCAAAACCAGAAATGGATAGTTCAGGTCCAGAAAGTGTTGAGTACTCTATCACTGTGACTCTTTATACTCAACTGGTTGACTGAAACAAAATCGTGGTGGAGATTTAACCATCCATCCATCCGCTTCTCCTGGTCAGGGTCCTGGGGAGCCTGGTGCCTGTCCCAGGCTGCACAGGACATGTCTGGTTACTGTCAGCTCATGTTGTGGCCTACTTTACAGTGAACCTTTCTGTCATTTCAGAGTAAGCCTAAGTATTCAAAACATTATGGTTGTGGTAACTGGTTACTTTTAGTTCTTTGAAAAGTACACACATTGCGTAATTCTAGGGTTGAATGTCTCCTCTTGTGCTGAGTTTGATTCCTGACCAGGAAGTGATGCGTCCTGACCAGTTTCCCAGTGTGTATCAGGGAGGTGTAGTGGCTGTGCAGTGGTACCTCCAGTGAGCTGTATAAACTGTGTCAATGACCTGCCCTGGTCCTGCCATCCTCAGGTGATGTTTGTGTTCAAAGCAGGTCAGAGAGCCTGGTTTCCCAGTAGTCACTGAGGCTGTTGTGTTGAGCCTTGAGTCAAAAGTTTTATGCTGTGTGTTAAAGTATGTTTTATTAATGTTCTGTTAAAGTTTAACACAACCATTGGATGGAGTCACAGCGCCCCCTGGTAAATATATAACCTGATCTTGAAAATCAGAGGGCAGGTAAAGTTTCTGGTGAGTAACTAGACTAACCGATAATCTGGGTTATTTCTATCAAATTACTTTCATATATATTGTGGGATATCATTTAAATGAAGGTGTGTAAATTCATGCAGGAAGACTATAGATAGATCATATAAACTGTATTACATGAACACATTAAAGTTATTAACAAAATGTATCGCCAAAAATTCATTTTAGCAGTCAGCATCCATAACCGCTTGTCTATTGAGGATCATTGTGAGCCTACAGTCAGTCTTAGGCCAGGCACCTCCTGGATGGGATGCTTGTCCATCACAAGATCGACACACACATACACACATGCATACCCACTCTGAAATAATCATTCCCACAAAGTGAAAATAACAGGTTTTGTCCCCACAATGTAATGTATATCTGATCTCTCTCTCTCTCTCTCTCTCTCTCACACACACACACACACACACACACACACACACACAATGGGCAATACAGATGTCTCCTGACCTCGGCTCACCTCCCAAGGACTCTTACAGTGGCTCTGAAACCGGCTAAGAGCTGTTTATAACCGGCATGTTATCCAAGGCGTATTGGTCTTGTTCCCTGCTCCAGTTCCCCACCCCAACAGCTGACACGGGATGAGGAGCTAGAAGGTGGACAGATGTGGACGGTTCTGTTTATAGAAGAAAACACTACAGTGTCATACAGTTGTATCGTATCGTGACAGATTTCAGGATAGTTAAGGTTGTGGCTATCACCAGAAAAAAAGGGTAATGTTATTGTCAGACCCACACTGCCGTATACCGTGACTGCATATGTTACCACCTGCTGTCCAGTATTGTCCGGGTCTATAAGAGCAGAACGGACATTATAGCTGAGCTTGGCCGGTATGCAGTGAATAATGGCTGTAGGGCCAGCCGATGGCCATTCCTCATTGCTGCAGACCTCTGCAGAGCAAAGAGGACACAATCTTCTGTAGGCTTATTGCTAAATTAGATGTAGAGTGAAGGTTTTATGGTCATAGTTCTGTTTGCAATTGGACTCGGCTGAAGGGGCAGCGGACCGTAATCTCTCCGATTTAAGCCGGTAATTAGGCCTTGCTCTGGTCCACCTGGTCTGCGCTGGAGTTTCTGGTACAAACTGCATATCGTCATGGCTGCTTTCCCCTTTTTAAGGCATTAAATGTGCATGCAACACTCCTCTGTTTAAACGGTGAGTTAATTTTTGCCTCGCCTGCCCCCCTGGATGACGAATAGCCTGTCAGAGTGAAATTCTGACCCTGCGATCACCCCTCAAGCTCGCGTCCGCGTTCGCTCGACTCGGATGACGTCACAGACGACGGAGACGGAGGAGATGTCACAGTAGAGGCAGCCGACAGCCCGACGACAGCCGTAGCATCACGATATAAAACGACGGCAGACAGACCCCCGATTCGGTCTCCGTAATGGGATGTGACGTCTCCGGGTCGGGGCACGGCGAGTTCAGCGAAGCGTTGCCTGGTAACCACCGCGCGGTTCCTCGCGCGCCCGTGCTGTGTGTTTTCGTCCGGTGAGCGTGTACGTGTGGGATCTCCATAAATGGTAAATGATTCATTCACCCCCAGAGTGCCCCGGAGGGCTGGGAAATCAACTCAAGTGACGAGGAGTTAAAAGTTAAACTCAGCGTTAACGTTTTATTTATGCCGGCCCCTTGGGAGCCTCTTTGTTAACTCTGACATGCTTGTTTTAAAAGCCCTCCCCCCAAATTTTATACATTTGTCTGACCTATAAAATATGGGCTTGTTGAGTCAAGCGAAGGTGGAACAGCCATGTTGTTTTGCAGATATGTCCTACCTTTCTTAATACACTGACTACTATGGGATTTTTATTCCTGTGTTTTATTTTAAGTCATAGCATTTTAAAATAATTCTCAATGTAGCACACGATTTGACAGAAGTGAACAGTTATTCTTCTTAGTCAAATGTGATTGGTGGATAAATTTGTATTTCCAATCTTAATCCATTAATCTGTCATCTGGTTGCTTACCCAATGTAGTATTGCAAGGGGCCTGGAGCCTATGCCAGAGGCGTGGGGACATCCTCGGCACACACATGTAACACACTGCAGGGTGATTTTACATTTATTTAGCAGATATGCATTTGCAAAAGCAGGATAAGCCAGTCCCTTAAAATCACTCTGCTTACCACGGGATTCGAACTAGCAACCTTCTGATCATGGTAAGAGCCACACACGGACCCAAATGCCGGTTCACTTAACCCCATGTATTTGGACTGCCAGGGGACAGAAGAAAATTGGAAGAAACGCCCAGAGCAAAACATAGTGTTGTGGCTCAGCAGGCTAAGCCTCTCTACCCGCGATCAGGAGGTTTTCGGTTCAAGTCTGGCCTGAGAAAAATAGTTGCATGTCTGTGGGCCCTTGAGCAAGACCCTTAACCCCCAGCTTCAGGGGGGCTGACCCTTAGGCATGAATAACGTATCACTATTAACCACCCTGGAGGTGTGAGACAACAATGCTGTACCACCCACTATATCTCTACAAAGAGAAATCAGACATGGTTTTCCCCGTAAATTTGTCTTACCAATAAGTTAGCAGTATCCCCCGGGTTGGCTTTGAAATGCAAGCTTAAGTTCCTTACCATATATATTTTTGTCACGTCCCTCCAGTTTGGGGACTGACGGTAGTGTTGCTAGGATCTTAAGACATCCTTGGATCATAAACTGTGAACATGATTGTTAAAACATCCAAACTAATGATTTGGGGCTTGTTCGGGTTCATTAAGGGCCTTGTGATGCCTCTGGTGATTGATGGTTGCTTTGTTTGAGCTGATAAGAGAAGGGGGGGGGGGGGAGGCAGTGATAAACATTCCCAGGACGTGGTTTTTGTGAGGGGAGTAAATGGTCATCGGCGGGGAGGAGGTTCTGGTCCTTGTTGAACATCCCCTTCTGTTAAAGGAGCCTTGTGCACATTCCCATCTTTGTAAAGGGAAAATGTTTGTCCTGGAATGATAAAATCTCTGCAGTTCTGGCCCCCACCAACCCTCTCTCTGCCTGTAGGTGCGAACGCTGTTCGTCAGCGGCCTGCCTCTGGACATCAAGCCCCGGGAGCTGTACCTGCTCTTCAGGCCATTTAAGGTAAGTTTTGTCCCCAGGATCACACTATTGTCTGTGCTTTTGTATAAGTTTTTTGGGTTTTTTTTTGAGCAGATGCTGTTTTTCATGCTGAACATCTGCTCCTCTCTCTTCCTCCCCTCATTCTCAAGCTGCATGCTTGGAGCTTGGATTAGGGGCTTCAGATACCAGAACGTAGATGTAACCCCATTCGACTTTGGTGTCAGAAATTGACCCTGAGTGAGAGAGAGCACACACACACACACACACACACACAAATATAACTGGATTTGATTAACTGCACATACAGCATATAGGTCTCAATCAGGTACCTTAGGTTAGCTGTGTGTGTGTGTGTGTGCGCACGCGCACACCTGAGCTTCATCTCCAAACCTCACATCTGCATGCCACACTCCAGGTAAAGCACCGTCCACTGACAGCAGGGGGCGCTCACCCTCATGGTGCCTCAATCTGAGAGCTGCCCCTGTCGACTCGGTCGATCACCGCAAGCTGACCCCCCTGATCGTGTCCCACTTCCCCAGCAGAGATGGGGGGGGGGGGGTCACCCCGTTTCCGCGCCCCGGGGCCGGTGCTGCTGTGTCTGCTCTTTTTAAATAACTATTCAGGCTTTACAGGTTTCACAGCGTGCTTTGTCATTTCCTTTCAGGGTTACGAGGGCTCCCTGATAAAGCTCACCTCCAAGCAGGTAAGTGTGGAGTAATTGGGTGGCAGCGAGGTTCACGACGGCCCCGCGGCTGCCCTTGGCCACTGCTGAAGTATCATTTATCACAGATACTCTGAGGTTTTTTTAGTGAACCTTAAGCAAAACATCGGGCCAGGCAGGGAGGCGGGAGGTAAACGCGGGCCTATATTTCGGGCCGGGAGGCACAGAAAGGTTGGCGTCGTCACTCTGGCGGCTTTCTCATCAGGTGGGAGTTCAGCCATTGGACGGAACAGTAAATAGTAAATAAGTGCTGAGATGTGATCGCTGAAGGTTTCGTTGAACAAAGTGTGGCAGCTTACAGAGCATTCCGAATATAGCATGTATACTTGGTTAGTTATTTGGTTGTCATGCGTTAATGTATTTATATTGCATCATGAATTTTTCTTAAAATGCAGGGTTACCCTGGTGACCCTTTTTCAAAGAGAGACTGTCTTTTTCAAAAGTATTTTATACCTTGTATTAGATTAGGTGGTGTTGTTTTTTTATAACGCGGATGTAAATTAGTGCTGTCAGGAAGGATCCAGTCCGTCTGATAGGTGTTAGCTGCTTGGCTAACTTGGCGGCACTTTCTGGAGGAAGCCGTCGGGATTGGGGGGAGGGTGTTTTTCAAGAGGGGTCACTGAGGGGCCGCGGTTCTGGTTCATCCGTGTGTGTCCGTTTCATCAGAGGAGTTCTTTGGGTGGAATTTCAGCGGAACGCGTAGGAGATGTAACTCAAGAAATTAAAAATAAACAAGACGCTGAAGTGAGCAGAAGAGGAGCGAGCGTGAGATGGAAAGTCCCTTTCGGCTACTCGACGTGATACGGAGACCAGAGTCGGGGAGGGCTTTAGCGAGAGAATTCGCACAAATGACTTGATATAGACGGCCGTGACGACGTTGCTAGGGTGACATCACAGGCACTTCATCGCTATGTTTTAGCGTCCATTCTTCTGGGGCATTTCAGCTGCCCCCATTCCCACAAAGTATAGCAAACAGCCCAATTCCTGGGCTCAGCTCCGCAGTGCTGCCTTCTCCATATATAGCGGTATGTCTCCGGCCTTCTATTTTTACTCTCATTGTATACTCCCACCCAGCAGTGTAGCCCCCAGCAGGGCGTGATGACAGGCCCTTGTTTTATTAGGCTCCTCCCCCCTCTCTTCGTCCACTCTGGGTTGCTGGGAGGCTGTAGACTGAGATTCCGGATACTTCCAGGATCCCATTCTTCCAGTCCTCCTTCGTTCACCTGTAACTGAAACCTGGGTGTATATAACCGCAGACCTGGGCCGCTGTTGTCAGGTTCAAGCTACCCCCCCCCCCCCCATGGTGACAGTTGAGGAGCAAATTTCCAAAACTCACACAGACCTTTTTTGTGTTGCTTTTGAGATGTTACAGTACTGGGATCCAAAACTCACTCAGTGCTCATGTAATCCAACAAAGACCTACTGTTATATTCCCAAGTCCACAGTTTTCTCGAAGATGTATCCTGTTGACTCAGTTTTGGAAACTTGCTCTTCAATTTCATTTGCTCTGTCAAACCTTATGTTCTTCTCTTTCTCATTCTGTTTTCAGCCTGTGGGATTTGTCAGTTTTGACAGTCGATCGGAGGCAGAAGCAGCAAAGAACGCACTAAACGTAAGCGTACCCTGTGTGTGCGTACCCTGTGTGTGCGTACCCTGTGTGTGCGTGCTCTGTGTGTGCGTGCTCTGTGTGTGCGTACCCTGTGTGTGCGTACCCTGTGTGTGCGTACCCTGTGTGTGCGTGCTCTGTGTGTGCGTGCTCTGTGTGTGCGTACCCTGTGTGTGCGTACCCTGTGTGTGCGTACTCTGTGTGTGCGTGTTACCTGACCATCGAGACAATGGGCTTTGCCCATGAAGTGTGTCAAATAATGTGGGAAGAACCCTTATGTCTGACAGCCTCCCAGAAAGACAGAATGTGGGTTCTTCTTTTATCTTGGGGTCTTAGCAAAGGACGGTGGCAAAGAATCACTGAAACCCTTCGGTGTTCCAGTACGGCATGAGTATGATATAGTATAGTGTCAGGCGTGGAGGTAACACTTACACCTTTGTGGGAGCAGAGCACAGAGCAGAGAAAACGATTATGGCAATCAGTCTCCCATGATTATGGACCAAGAGGATTATTATTATTTGATTTCGGCAGAACTATTCTCAGCTCTCACCAGCTGTTAAGATCCCACTTAGCTGATCAGATGTATGTAGTTGTGTGGCAGGAATTCATGCCTAAAGTGTCCTGCATGTCTTGATTTACTTTAGGCTACAATACTTTGCGAGAGTCTTAGGCAGTCAAAGAAATTTATGTTTAAATGATCTCCATATTGGTGCAAAACCGTGATATTACATCGGTCAAAGAGCCAAAGTGTGTCAGCTTAGTAATCAAATGCATTTTTTGATTCGACCACTAGCAAACCATGTTTAGATAAGCGAATTTAACGAATTACTTCATCAGTGAATTATATACTATGTTGTATATGTGTTTGTGTGTCTCACGGAGAGCAAGATAGGATAGGCAAAAAGACAATTATCTCAAATCAGATCTATCACCATCCTATTTCTTCCATTCACTATTTATCAAACACATAGAATGGCTGAGGTGCCTCTGAGGAGAAGGTTTAGGAACCAAAGCCATGTTCATCTAGCCATCCAACAAGATATCAATGACTTTTTGGAGAACAGAAAAAATTATTGATCGTTTTTATTGTATTATTTTTAATTTGCATTTGTTTTAATTTTACATTGCTTTTTCATTCTGAGCACATATGCATTTACTACCCAGATAAATAGCTTAAAACATTTTCTTTGTCTGCCTAAGACTTTTGCACAGTGCTGTATGTATACAGACACATTTTGACTGAACTGGATCATGTATGTAGTCCTTCAAGGTTGCAACACAAGGCACAGATTTCATCAGACTGTGCTGTGTGCAGACTTCATTTACACCATCAATCTAACCATTCACCCTGAACGGGAAGCCAGGTCCATCTTCCACCCATTTATCCTGGTCAGGGGTGCAGGGTGGGTGGGGGGGACTTGCAGGCTATTGGAGGTAGCGTAGGGCATAAGGCAGATGAACACTCCATTTTGGGGCACTCTCACACTATACAAGTTAAAGGCGATTTGTTAACTTGAGCGGCAGTGTTTTTAGTCTAGTTGTAGGCTCCAGAAAACATAAAAAAACATGAGGACATGCATATTCTGCCATGTTGCAGTATGTCCAGAAGACTGAAGTACAGCTGATACAGTGTTTCACATGCTATGATATCATTACAGTGATGTATGAAGGACTATGATGAGTCATGATGTCATGCTGGTGATGTCATCACGCGACTCGGTGTGTACGTAAAGGATATTTACAGTCACTGCTAAAGACATTTGCATGCTGTGTATTTGGATCAGGGCGTCATTTTCTTAGCAGAGTGAGTTAAAAGGTTTTTACCGGAGCGATTTCTGAGTAAAGATACTTCCAGAGAATTCTCAGCAGAAAGTCTACCATAACTGTAAAGCAGCTGTTTGGAGTCAGCAGGCAAAAACAGGGGGCAGCTCATTTCCAAAATATCATTGTGATCATTATTTAGTAGCCTGCTAAGGTCTGCTTGTTGTCAGTTTACTTTGAGGGACGAGGGAAGGTTTGGACTGTGACAGTAACGAAATGCCTGGCACACTGAGCTCACAGCGGTTCGCGTGTTTAAGCATGATATCTCTCTATGAGCGGGATGGTCTTAGCTAGATTAATCGCTCTTTAGAGGCAACATGAGTGTTCAGCTCACATGCAGACCACCATGCTTGTAAACACCACAACGGCTCTTGCATCACCAGGCATTTTCAGGACATTACCAAGTTAATCAGGCAATGAAAAGCAGATGGGTTTTGTTTCTAATTGTACGTGTTGGTAGTTTGACTCTAGACTCAACTCCTCGCAGTTTGAGACAACCGCATATTAGTGGATTTGTCGTTGTGTGATTTCTTTGTATGGAAACAATGGGGCCTACGTTAATGGCGGTGGATAGGAAAGACCCCCGATCCAGACCTCCCATCTTCATTTTTAACGTCAAACTTGTGCTACTTTCAGGGAATCCGCTTTGATCCCGAGATCCCGCAGACCTTGCGCCTAGAGTTCGCGAAAGCCAACACCAAGATGGCCAAGAGTAAGCTGGTGGGCACTCCCAATCCCCCCGCCTCCCGGCAGAGCCCCGGCCCTCAGTTCATCAGCAGGGACCCTTGTGAGTAACCTTATCGTTGCCGGTGTGGAACCCCCCTTGCTGTTAAAAGCCCCTCCCCCCGCCCACAATAACAATGGAGCAGACCACATGAGTATCACTGTATATGTGTGTGTTTATAGTGTATAATGTCGTTCTTTGGGTGATTCAGTACAGTGCACATATCCATTGTATGTATGGTATAGTTGTATACAAGGGAACTATGTTTATTACTGAGTGTCTGTTGTTCTTGAGTTTCTCTACATCTTCTAGACCTAAAAGATGATGTTGTCATTTTGTGTGTTTTGGTTCCAATGGGTATTTATGAAAGAAGTTTTACAACTGATACCTTCACCAAATGTCGGTTTTATGGGTTTATCTATAGGTTTATAGCTTTTGTTTATTTAAATAGTCAGTTTTAGGATAATGTATGAATATTTCCTGTTTTGATTCAGTTTCCAGTTTCAGTTTTGTCTGAGCTGTTCAGAACATACTGTACATGATATATTATTTTATGCATACATTTTAAATTAAGCAATTGTAATTTCCTATTTTTGCAACCATATGCATCAGATATTCAGCGAAAGAGTTGATTTGCATGATGATGATATAGAATTTGTCATATAACAGTGCTTATCTGTATCCAGAGATGCACATAACTGGTACGCAAGTACACATTCTGTTACTGATACGATACATGAAACTATCGATTGTTGTGACAGCGCAAATGTGTATGCAAGAACTAAAAATGCAAAAACTCTTGTATTTTGCTTGGTTACTTATGGTTATGATTAGGGCTGGTTGGGGCTTAAGGTTGTCATAGCTAGCGTTAGCATTTTTCCCATAGAAGTGAATGAGTGGTCCCCATAACGATAGGTATACCCAACGTGTGTGTGTGTGTGTGTGTGTGCACACTGTGACATACTGGCCTCCTGTTCAGAGTGCCCCCTGCCCCGGGCATCCTGGGATATGGTCCAGGCTGTCCAGAACTCTGTACTGGATAAATGATCATGGAAAATGCATGGATGAATTTCACAGGTCATGATGTGACGCTCATTACTCCTGGAGTTTGACTTTCAGTAAACTTTCCAGACTTAACAATGCACTAGGGCTGCAGCTGGTCTTCCAGTTACTAAGTCCCAGGATGGGAAGACAGTTTGTTAATGTTTAACTTAAATAGCTCCAGTGCACTTAATAGCATAACTGGCTAATTGCTATTAGCTGTGTTGCTAAGACACTTTGAATTTACCATACAAACAAATGTTAAGCAAGTGTCTGTATTTTTGAAGGACCAAAGGATCCGCGCTGTCATACCAAATTGTCCTGCACTTTAGCAGCCCCCAAATAAATATTTAGGCATTTCGTAAACAGCCTGTAGCTGGCATCCACAGCTGTGTTCAGGCATCCTCTTCAGTGCACTGCATTTTTGCCAAATGATCGTGCCTCGAGCGTCAATCTCACATTAAATCTGCGACCACCGTCCTCAGTTCCTCCAAGAGATACATGGAAAGGAAACGATTAGCCGCAACCATGACATAATTGCCTGGCTAGCAGGTGAGATGGAAGTCGTGTTCTGATTGTACACCCCTTTGGGCAGGAGTGTCTGGAGTGAGTTCAAGCGAACGTTTGGCCTGCGTTGACGTGCAGTGTTGCCTTCCATTGGGGAAACACGGAATGTGTGCGTGCGTGGCATCGAGCGTGTTTGTGTGTTTTGGGGCTGACATACCACACACTTACCCAACCCACAGGAGTGTTTCAGCCCTCCCCCCAAGCTCCCCCCCCCCCCACTCAAATATCAGCCCTCCCTTACTGAAGAACCACCTGAGCTGAGCGGAGCCAGTAGAAAAGCCCAGACTATGGAGACGGAAGACAGCTGCATGGTGTGGTTGAGGGAAAAGGCAAAATATATTCCTGTGGGATAGTGTGTTTACATAGCAGGCCTGAAAACAAGAGGTTTTATTGGAGGAGTCAATACTGAAGTCCTCTCTGATTGGATGAATGAGGGGGCCTACAGCAGCCTCTGGTTCCTTCTGCTTGTCTCCATGCTCAGTGCTGAACCCCCCCCCCCCCACACACACACACACAAACACACACACCCTGAGCATGTTCCTTCTTGTTTTCAAGATGAGCTGACGGTGCCCGCTCTCTACCCCGGCGGCATAGACGTGTGGGCGCCCTACCCCCTGTACCCCGCGGAACTGTCCCCCGGCCTCCCCGCCGCTCTCACGTACCCCTCCGGCCTGCACGCCCAGGTGAGCGCGTCAGCCCCCGGCTTCGCTCCCCGCCCAAACCCTCCCCTCCATAATGCAGTAACCGCCTGATGACCTTTACTCCAAAATATACGACGTCTGGCTGCAGATTCCCTGGCTCCCTCCTGCGGACGGGGTCCCTCAGGGATGGAAGTCCAGGCAGTTCTGCTGATATCTGGGTGAGTAGCAGAACCCTCCATCCACACCACTCAGCTTTAGCTTCTATCTGCTGTCCTGCCACGCAAAACAAGGCTCACCAAGACCAGACCGCGCTCGTGTCTCTCATCGCTCTCCCGGCCCGGAATAGACACAGAGTCAGCCTAGTAAAAACCATCAGTGTCAGTGGACTGGTTTGAGAAACAAGGCCCTGATTGACCCAGTGAGCTGCTCAGTGTGTAGTACATCTGTCATCAGTTGGTAGATAATAGGCATGACCTGTATATCACTATGGATAAAGCGTCAACTAAATGTAAAAAGGCTAAAATCTGAACAAAGTGTACAATAAGCCACACTAAAGTTATTCAATAAAATAACTGAATAAAAGAAACAGCATCTAGTTCCAACTAAGTAAACCTGAGGACTCTGCTGTAGTTAAATAATTGCTGGCAGATTTTGGATGGTAACGATATTTCTTCATTCCTTTTCTTTTTTAAGTTTTTTAATTTTTCTTTGTATACTCACTATGTTGTTGACATCTCTCCATCTTGATTCGAGATGGCTAAGAAAACGGAATATAACTGAGCTGATCGGTGGCTTGCAAAATTAAGAAATTAAGAAATGCATCAAATACAGGGTAAACATGCTTTTCAGTGATGGGGGGGGGGGGTGCAGTGCTCGGTGCCCCCCGAGGGTGTGGAGCCCCTGGGCATGTGCTCAAATGTCCATATGCTGAACTGGCCCAGACCATGAACTTTCAAGGAAAATGTCTGGTAAACTACATATTTAAAGTAGCTTCGAATGTCAAGGTAAAAATTTAACCCATGGTGACAGAATGTAGTGTCATTCAAGTCCTCTTCACTTCCCTGTAACCGAACCCATATTACGTACTGCCAGGATCAATGTTAGGCCAGTTATTGAATAAAATAGTTCACAATGACATTGTCACTGTCGATACTACGGATCTGTCAGATCTCAAGGCCACTCCGGGCTGCTGAAGCGTCTGCAAGAAAGGACATGCTTCTTAGATTCCCAGGGGGTGATGGGAAAAAGCAGGGGTGCCTGGGAAGGAAGGGGTGTTGATTGGTGTGAGCTCCGTGGCCTACTAGATCATATGCTGTCCATCCTCGGTGGGGTAGAAGAAAGGGGGATGAAAACTGGAGACAGCTTAAGAAATGATCTCCTTATCGCTCCTTGTGAATATATTTGCCCCTCAGAGAATGATGGGACATTTCGGTCATTTCTCAAAAGACCTATTACTCTATCTGTACTCATCATCTTTCCTGTTCTGAACACTTGCAAGTAGCAAAAGCTGGCTTCCGTGAGGCGTGTTTGGGTTGCCAAAGCAGATGTTCACACCGCAGTTTATCCAGCCCAAGGACCTGCACCAGGTTGAGGTGGCATGTGATTAACCATAAAGGGTTGCCAGAGCATTATGGGCGATTAAACATGTTGCCATGAACCAAAAAAAGGTTTTGTTATGCTGTCCATTATTCTTTTAGATGGTTTTTTTTATCACCTTTTATCACCAAATCCATGTAACCAAAATCCTTCAGTTTCCTATGATTCTGCCCTCAGTATTTACAGACGAGTGCTACACTCTCTTCTGCCCTTAAGGTACCAGGAAGGACAGAACACTTTGCACAGATTTCCTAAGGGTTTATTTTGTTTGCACTGTTCCTGCTGAGTGGTGGACTGCATTTCACTCATGTATGTTATGTTTCTGCTGTGAAATGGAGAAAATCTAAAGGAGTCACTTCTTTCAGGTTTCTGGTGTGTGATGGCGTCCACAGTTGGTCTTGATGGTGTTGATCTGATGTCCGACTGGGTGGATACCTGATCCAATTAACAATAGCGTGGACTTATTGGTGAGTTTCAGTCTTATATATCAGTAATGTCCATTTTAAAAGTCTGAGCTCCTATAGCTCACGAAGTAGTGTTGTGTTAATAATGTCAAGCTTGTGGGTTTGAATCCCAGGAAGTACACCCTTTCCTCTACTGTAAGTTATTTAGATTAAATGTGTCAGGTAAGTTAGACATATTCTCTGAAGTCTTCCTACTCTACTTGTTGGTATGAAAATCAGTTTATAAATGGAGGGTTTGACCAATGCTTGAAGAAGGGAAAACAGGTGCCGGTGCTCCCCTTGTTACTCGGCACCAGGTGCCCCAGCTCCCCTTGTTACTCGGCACCAGGTGCCGGTGCTCCCCTTCCTACTCGGCACCAGGTGCCGGTGCTCCCCTTCTTACTCAGTACCAGCAGATACTAAGAGAAGCAGGTACTTTGAAGAGAAAAACAAATCGGTGCTGGTACCGTGTACTGGTGAGTACCAGCCCACTTCAAGCACTGGTTTTGACCATACAGGAGATTAGTTTATCAGTGCTTACACTCCTGTTCATTATGTTTTATAGGAGATATTAGTTCATGCTCCCTGTGAATATATGATCGTTCAAGCCCTCCAGCCCCTTCCCAGTACTTTGATATGGACATGGTAGGGGGGTCGATGGTGACATGTCTATCCATGACTCTTGCAGGCCACTGCCCCTCCCTGGGCCTCAAGACCTTCAAGACTCCTGTCCCATCACACATCAACCCCATGTGCTCTCATAGCTGTTACTCCCCAAAGAACTGTACTAGTAATCCTTCTTAATATAATAATAATTATTATTGCCATCCTTATTACGTATGACATATTGGAGTACGACTTTGCCAAAGCAATGTTGTACAGTTTTAGATGCGCTAAGAAGAATCACAGGTATTTTTATATTAAGTAATTGTTCTGAATGTTTTATTCTGTTGTGTGGTGCTTAATATTTGCGAGGTTCATTATTAAAATCACTCTTCTCTGACATGGTACTGCAGTGAATGAGGTGTACACAAACCGTAGAGTCTGTTTGCTATGTCCATCGGGGCAAAAGTCATTGTACCATGGAATGGGATTCGGTGTAAGTTGAGTACTTTGAAATCTGTGGATTTAACAGCCCCGTTTTTTTTTTAAGTACTCGGGCTATTGCAGAAATGTGTATGATTACTGTGAACAAAGAAGCCAAGAAAGGCATTATTAACAGCCTTGGTGCCATGAACACTTCTCAGTAAAGATGTCTTGCCTGTTTGCCTTACTGATGTAGCCACATCTTCAAGGACTTCAGCTTTCTTAGCCTTGTGAGATTGGACCTATTTGTGGACCAAAGCAAGAGATCATCCCTCAGAAATAAGAACTATGCCTTTCATACAAGATATCGGACCGGCCTTACTCTTTTTTTGAACGTGCAGTGCAACATAAAGTCATCCGCGGTCATTCTGAGCATTCTGCAGAACATGACTCTGATCATGCCTAGCGTCTAAGGAGAACGTGAGGCCCAAAAGCTCATCATCTCAACGTGATGGTGTTCCACAAAAATTCCAGTGAAGTCATCATCTGAGGGCTGAGACACAAAGGAAGGATCAGCGTGTCAGGCTTATGCATCCGAAAGAAATTCCCTCCCACACAAACGCTCTTGCTTTTCAAGAGCAGGAGCAAATCATTTACAACCCAAAGGTTTCATCATCCACTTTGTGCTGGTGAGTATTACGTTGACAAAGAAAATGGGCCAGAGTACTTTGTAAGTTCTCTACTTATGTCTGCACTACATATTTTTCTGTTGCTTTCATGGTGAGTGCCTTTGTTTTCTGATTTCCTTTTCAAGTGGCCTCTCGAATCCGCTTCGGAGTACCTAAAAATAGCTCCCTGGAGGAAAAAGGCTTTAAGTTTCCATAACAGGACTGAGCTAAGCCTGAAGCTTGAATGCTAATTGAGCACTAAACAGAAAAATGACTCCAGAAATACCCCCCCCCCCCCTCCCCCCAACACACACACGACCTGCAGAAACACATAAACCTTTTCGTGTCTCTCTCACGACCATGACGCTCAAATATCGTCAGACCCCGGATAGATCGAGGTTAGCGAATTGTCAAGTTGGCAGGAGGGGAAACGGCAGGTCGTACCTTGGCGTTGCCGAACAGCCGGCCTACATGCGGATGCACCGTTGGTGACGTGCCGTGTGAGATTTCAGCAGTGCGACGTATGAATACGTTAGGTGGCCCTACAGGTCAGAGTCAGTTTAAACAGCTGATGACAGGGTGACCCGTTCAACTGTGACAGCACCATGGAATATCAACCAACCACAAGGAATAATAAGGGGCCACGTGAGCTCTTTTTTCCCCAGCTGCAGCAATAATTTGTATTTTTCAGGAAATAAATGAGGGTAAGGTAGTCCATGTATAAGGTAGTCCAAACGACAGTTTTAATCTGACAAAAAATGACCACAAATAAGATGGCAGTGATTTAAGAACAGCCTGTATGAGTCTGTATGGCTCTGACTTTGTGTCTTTGTGTATTCAATGCATGCTTATTATATAGATGTGTATGTATACAGCCACTGTAAGGAGAAACTGCATTTCCGTGAATTATAGTGGTCTAATTCACATAATGTTTTTATTAAGAAAAAAAAAAATTAAAAGCTTTTGTATAAAAAAAAATTAAATAAAATAAGATTGGATCAACCATGGGCAGTTTCTGTGTGGTGTTGAGACCTCCTCATCTAAGGACCAGAGAACCGCATACAGGTGCCGGACACTAGGCTAACAATCCACCGTGGACCATGGGGTCTACAGCATAGCATTTACAGAGGAGGGGTTCCGCTGAAGCTATGAATACGGCTGGGTATCATACTATGGCTATACTGTAGAAACGCCCTGGTGAAAGGCGAAACAGCCCCATTTCGCCCCTCCTCAGACTCAAGCTACTACCACTCAGATCAGAAGTTCATGGCCGTGACGCTCTTGGACCAGCTCCAGGGTGTTACGCGGTGGGGAGCTACAACCAGAACTACAGAAGCACCTGACTCCAGTCCAGTAGGTCTGAGGCACCCCAGAGACTCGTCACCTAGCAACCACTACTGAGGAATTCCTACTGTCACTGTTACTATGGTTTTATTTGTTCCACTTAATAATTTACTAATTGCTATTCTCATAATTATTCCATTTGAATGAAAAGTGATTGCTAATGACGGAATTATCGAAAGTAATTTACAGTAGACAAACACAATTATAGCAAGTTATTTTTCTCTCCAATTTTTTTTTGGAACAGACAGTTTTCAGAGTGTTTACCGCCATCAATGCTGTCAGCTTGAAGCTAAGGCCACAGCTGCAAGCCGGCAGCTGAGAGAAAGTAGGTGCTGATAGCGGCAGTGGAGGGCCAAGATCTCTGGAGTCATATTTCGTTTTGCGCCATTTAATTTAAAAAGAAAAAAGCACGAGTTCAAATAAACTGTCCAGTGTACCTTTGTCTGACAAGTAAATCCAATGTGTAGTATGGAGTATAAACACTGCCTTTTCAAGGCATACTCCTTTAGTGATTCATTTATGCAGGATTCCAGAGAGTGTAGGCCACTGGACAGGGGAGTTTTTGCATTTTCATTCCGTTTTAAAGTATAGCTCTGACAGGCTACTCCCCCTGCTGGCGGGAAGACGCATTGCAGTGTCACTTCCTAGCGGACATTCCTTGGGAGTAGTCTTCCAGGACGTCGGCCAGGTGGTCGTTGTGCGTCTTGAAACGCCTCTTCTTCTGAGATGCTGGCTTTTTCTTCTTCTGGATGGGAGCCTGTGGGAGATTCGGGTTGAACAACAACGATTTGAAAGGCGGAGTCCTGGAACGGTGTGTGGGGGTGCAAGGTGGAGCAGATGTGGGCGGGGCAACAAGGCGGGGGGGGGTGAATGAGCCAGGCACAATGGCTGGGCTCTCTGGACATACCGGTTTCTTAGGTCCTGTGTCCTGCATGGAGGAGATGCCCTGTCTCTTCAGGTACTCTTCAATCTTCTCTTCATCCATCGAGTCCACAGGCACGCTGCGCCACAACTTCTGGAACTCTACAACCACCGCCCCCCTTTACAGTTAAATTATGCATGCTGAAAGTGAAATATTATGAAAAGTTCAACTAAGCAATTAAATATGTTCATTTTGATTGAAGGATTCACTCTAGTTTCACTGCTAAATCTGAATCTGAAAATATACTACTAAGAATAAAGCTCTGAGTCTGGGGTGAGTTTGTACTTGGAATTCAGTTTTTATAGATTTAACCCTATTATCCTCCAGCTAAAACCCAGAGCAGTGAAACCTGTGCTCTCTTACTCTCCTCACCTTCATCCACTGTAAACTGGCAGTGTTTGTCATTATAAAAGAGGATCTTCTTCTTGTCGGGCCGGGTCACAAAGATGATCTGATCCCCTAAGGCCTGCAGGGGGCGACAGAACCAAAAGCGCAGAGAGACTGTCTACATTAGCAAGCAGGTGTACCTAATAAACTAGCCCCAGAGTGTACATAAATACATACAAATGTTTTATATGAAAATCATTTACATGACTTTGTGCAATCACATGCATACATATGCATACTACGGCTGGGATATTTATCGCATTAAGGCATAGTGGTAATTTAAAATTCAAAACGTTATTTCTTTGACCAAATTAACATATGCAGCAGTTTGATGGCCAAATCGGAGAAAACAAGGTGATTAATTCGTTAATTTGTTTCAATTGATTCACAGCCCAAATGCATACATTATTTCATGATGAACGCACACATGCGCAGACGCAGACACACACGCATGTAGATACAAGCAAACACAGACACACATATGCAAATGGATACATGCAGACGCACCTTGATGGCCTTGTGCGCATTGGGCAGCCCCTCCTCCACGTCCTCCAGCAGCACCCCCCCCAGGCCCAGCTGGTCGTGCTTGTCCAGCAGACGCAGCAGCGCCTTCTTGTCCTTCAGCGGGTGTTTGGGCTTGAAGGCGTACTTCCCGTCACGCACCTCGATCTTGGGGTTGCTGGCCAGGGCCTGGATGGGACAGACAGATGGGGGGGTGGGGGGTGGGCAATGAACACAGAATAGCAGCGCTTTGGTGAGCCGGGTGCGGCACTAAATGCATCCAGGGATAACTAGCACGCTAACGACGGAGCCGCAGCTCGTTATCTAGCTGGCCCTGCAACAAAACAATCCCGGCACCCGCGTCCCCTTAGTGGACAGAGAACCCAATTAAAGTATCTCAGCTGATCTTTTTAAAAATTAAGCAATTTTTCATTAAACTGGACCAAAACGTTGGCAACCTCGTTTCACGTTTTTTACATTTTGTTTCAAATGAATGAAACTTCAAATAAATAACCACATGCGCCGAAATACAGTCAGCATAGCGGACTTTGACTTTCTCACAGGATGTGAGCAGCTTCTGAGATTAAAGATTATAAAACGTAAGGAGTTTCTGTTCACGTTGGATGAGCACCATAGCAGTAAAGACGAGTAAATGTCACACTGAAGTCGCCTGATGCCTGGACGGTCTCCCAGAGGGCAAGAACTGGCTGCGGATCACTTACCTCATTCGTCAACCACATCTTCTGCTTCATGCCAATGTCTAGGAGCTTCGTCTCATCCAGGATCTCTTCCAGGGTCAGGTGGAAGGTGTCGCCACGCTGGTGCCGGGTCTTACCCCAACCCGAGGTAAACAAGGAGACAGTTGTTGATGATGAGATGAGCACACAGTAAGCAGGGGGCCAAATAATCCTTTGCAGGAGAACTCAAGGTGCATAACACTGTTCTTCAATGCCCTGACTTCATTCCCCAACTCCGTTCAACAGATACCCTGGAAAAACCATTATGCAGCTCCCCACCAAATAGAAAATAAGATCCAAACACAGATATGATTACAAAGGGGATGGAAGTTACTATTTTGGTTGCCTAAAGCATGCGTGCTTTTTATTGCTTCTCTCTGCGCCTGGGGTTCGAATGACGGCGTTTAATTTAACCTTAACTTCTACCTCTCGTGAATTTGACATGACTACAAAAAAATATCCCAAAGTTCTGTCAGTACTGAGTGAAATGGGGGATTCTGGGTAATCCAAAAATAATATTTTTATGCAAACTTTCAAAACAACGAATTAACTGCTGGAACTGTGACGCGATATGGTGCAGATTTAGGGTGACACTCACTTTCATGTAGTTCACAATCTTTGCTAGAACACCAAACTTGTACCCCGTACTTCCAGTCAGTGCTTTCAGGTTGAAGGAGCCGTTGCTTGAGTCTGAAATTAAAGAACAAAATGAAGTTGCGCTCGGAAGTAGTAGAGAAATGGCTTTTTTACATTCATTAAGTACAGAGAATGTCCCAAGCAGCAGAAATGTCAAGCAAGACAAACGTCCTGACAAAAAAAAAAAAAAAAAGTCTGCGGTGAGGAGTGAAATGTGGAGCAGCTTCAAACGAGTCCCTCTATATGTCAGCCATCGTCACACCGGAATCTGATTAGCATCACTACCGAGAACCAGCTCTGAGACGTCGACAGCCGGCGAACCACGGCAAACTTAAATGCTTTCCTTCATTCAGCTGCGGCTTGTGTGGATGTGAGCGCCATTTCCATGGCGCCCGTAGTCCTTCCAGGCGATTGGCCGTAATAAATGCAAGCCAGTGACACCACAGAAACTCAGTATGTCACTTTTTATTCACTCGGTATTGGGCAGTTTTATTACCCTTCCTTACACTCGATGCATCAGACTGCTTTAAGGGTTTTAGGAAATGGGGCATGAAATGATCCCAAGGCTGGATGATACCACATCGATATTATATGGCGCATGCGCAACAATCCCCAGGGCTTCAGATGATGGCCGAAACATTTGGCCAGATGCTAGCTTTTTGGTACTACCTGGATGTTTATTTACAATTTGTTAAGCAGATCAGTAGTACGGTCAAAATAATAATGAGATGCATTTTGTGATACCAAGAACTTAGCAATCTGTATAAACTTTACATATCTTTATGTTTATTAAATTCAGTTATCAGGGCACACCACATAATACTGTTCTGGTGTACTATGGTTCGGTATACCTCAGTGCGATATACATTGTGGTGGGGCACACTACATAATACTGTTTTGGTATACTATGGTTTAGTATACTTCAGGGCAATATGCACTGTAGCGGGGCACACCACATAATACTGTTCTGGTATACTTTGGTTCGGTATACTTCAGGGCAATATGCACTGTAGTGGGGCACACTACATAATACTGTTTTGGTATACTATGGTTTAGTATACTTCAGGGCAATATGCACTGTAGTGGGGCACACCACATAATACTGTTTTGGTATACTATGGTTTGGTATAATTCAGTGTGATATGCACTGTAGCGGGGCACACTACATAATACTGTTTTGGTATACTATGATTTTGTATACTTCAGGGCAATATGCACTGTAGCGGGGCACACCATATAATGCTGTTTTGGTATACTATGGTTTGGTATACTGCAGGGCAATATGCACTGTAGCGGGGCACACCATATAATGCTGTTTTGGTATACTATGGTTTGGTATACTGCAGGGCAATATGCACTGTAGCGGGGCACACCATATAATGCTGTTTTGGTATACTATGGTTTGGTATACTGCAGG